TGTCCAAATACTTTAATAGTCAAAGGGGTTTAAAAGGCCTCGGATTCTCTTCAATCAGTCTATAGTTTTTATGATTTTGGAAGTAATGTTTTTTTGAGCACATATATCTTATTTTCAGCTTTCCAACGAGCTAAGATTTGCTTGATTTGGAGATAGAACGAATTTTTGGTAAATTGTTGAGTACGAGGGGGTTGGTTGAGTTGGTAGTTTGGATTACTCAATTTTGAAAAGGCAATCCTCAATGCCTTATAATTGGATTATTATAAATTATTAAATAAAAAAATATTTATAAGCTGAGCTTCTAAGAGCACTAATTTCATAAAAATTTATTTTTTGAAATAAATAAAACTAAAACTAAATATAGTAATAATAAAAAAAAAATATTAATTAATATTGATAACTATTGCTTGGAAGGCAATAAGTTAAATTGAATTACAAATACCTACATTTGAATTAATTTAGCAATTGCACAATTGAGAGTTTCCATTCTATGTCTTAAACTTATTATGTAGCACTAGTTTCATAGAGTGGTGGAATTTGGGTTCACAAAGGTCATTACTTTCTAGTAGGGAGGACAAGAAATAGATAATGTTCCTTAAAAGCTCCTCCAATCAAAGTATATTAGTCTATCTAACAAGACCTCAAAAGCCATTTAGATAAGGAGATTACTTACAAAATTAGATTTATACTCATTTTTTACATATGTTGTTTTTTTAAACCATATTAGTCTTGACATCGAATCCAATCTTATACCAAGCATAATATAAATATATTATAATAATAAATTAGCTAGTAAATTAGCAATAAATTTAAAATTTTATAAAAAAAAATAAACATACAAAAATACGCTCTTAATTTTTACAAGAAAGAGTACCAAGTGGATAAAAAAATTTAGATTACATTCTAATAGATCTTTAAATTATTGATGTATCTATAGAATTATTTTTCTAATATAAAGTTAAGCAATATAGGAAGATATATTAGTAATTATAAATATTTGTTTTATCTATAAATCTAAAAAATAGTGAAGATAATTAACAATATCCTTGTAATACACACATCTCTTGATTTTTTTTCTTTTAAATAACTTTACTTATGTCTTTCACTTATCTAATTGAAAAATAAAATAAAATAAAATAAAATAAATCTCCATACATATCATGATACTTAAGAATCCTAAAAATCTTTAGTATAGGAAAAAAAATATTATAAAATCTACTTTGTAATTTTTTTTTCTATATATACTATGTATAATTTTTAAAATTAAAAAAAATTCTACACCACTTGTCTCTTGAATATTTGACTTCTATTGATCATCTTGATATAGAATCCTAGAAAAAATCCTAAAAACATTCTTAAGAAGGAAAAAATTTGGAAAAAAAATAAATAAATTCGAATTTTTTTTCTAAAAGAGAAGTTTCTAAAAAACATATTTTAATAAAATAAGAAATATTTTAACTTTAAATTATAGTCAAAACCTTAGACTTTAAATACAAACTTTAAAACATTATTATTTTATTATAACATAATTATTGATTAAAAGAAAAAGATATGGATTACATTATAAAATAACTTATTTTAAAATTTAGTAGTAAATTATCCTAGAAAATAAATCAGAATTATAAAGATAATAAAAATAATTTAGTGCTATAATTTCCATTTGTATATATATATACTTCAACTCACTTTATAGAACCATAAATAAGACAAAAAATTAGATAAACAAAAATAATATTATAGATATTTTTAAGTAAAATTAAAGAATAGCTTTAATCAATAAATAGTTAGAAAAATCTTAGATTAATACCAAGAGATGACTAATCAAGCAAGGTCAAAATCAGACCTTCAAGTACAAAATCACAAACTCATGACAAATGTGGAATTCTTTTGTTCATCAAAAAAAAAAAAAACTTTTTTAGCATTAAATTTAAAATATTTAAATTTATGATGAATTTATAAAAAAAAAAAAATTACAAAGTTAGGATTATTTTAAGTGATTGTATTTTTTATAGTATAGAAAGATGGCAATATTTTGGTATATTATGTGAATTTTGTAATAAATCTATAGGTGTGTTTTTTTAGAATTTTAAAAGTATTTGAATTAGATATTTATTATAAAATTATACTAAATCTAAAAATTAGATTAAAGTTATTTAAAATTCTAGTGAATTTAGATTTTTAATATCAATGAGAATTTTTGTGATTTTGATCAATGTTTTGGTTATATTAATTTGTAAGTTTGATCATCTTCAAACATTTTGAGTTTGTTTCCAATTAGAAAGTTGAAATGTATAATAAAATTGAATCAAAATCAATAACTAAAATAATAATTATTAAGATTTAAAATTTGTTGTAGAATTTATTCAAGGTGTGACTAGAATTTATTAGGATTTACTTAAGATTTGGTTAAAGTTTGATTATAGTTTTAAGAATTTTCTTGAAGTTATGTTAAGATTTAATTAAGATATTTTTAGAAATTTCTTAGAATTTTATAAAAAATCTATCATATTTTAATTAGAATTAATATTAAGGTTTAATTAATATTTTTATGATTTCTTGATGATTTCTTCATGATTTCTTTATAAAATCTTTAGGATATTTTGAAGATTTTTTAAGGTTTATTTAAAGTTCATTAGAGGGCAATTAAATTTTTAGAATTATTTAAGATTTCCAAAAAGGTGTTCATAAATACCTTATGCATTATTTTTTTGGATTGTAAATCCAAATCCAAATTAAAAGGAAATCTTTCTATAATTAGATAATTAATGTATTTCTAGGCTAATTTTTACTTTATAAGACAGTGCATTATCTTTTTAGATTCTTCTTGCAATACTTTTGTAGGCATTCATATTAATCTTTATAAGAGCTAACTAAATCAAATAATACAAAACATTTTTTGGGTACTGCAAATAAAACTTAAATGCAAGTTAGTATTAGTTCTATCTAAGATTGCTAAAAACTTATTATAACTAAAATTTCTAACCGAGAGATTTTTTGTTAATTAATTAGTGTAAAAAATAAGATTTATAATTATAAGAAAGAAGCTTATTGTGTGATATATTATATTTTTTCATAAGTCTAAAATTAATTATCAATAAAATTATGGTATTGATTATAAAAACATAATCTAGTAAATAAAAATCTTTTGACACAAGCACTTAAAATTGAAAAAATTACCTTAAAAAAATTATGTAAACACATAACTAAACAATAAAGAAAAATATAAAAAATTTGATATATATTTTTTTAAATTACCACTATCTTAATATATAGATATATATATAAATATATATATCTTTAGATTTTTTATTATTTAATATTTTTAATTCAATAAAAAATTAAATTATTATTTTAATTTGAATTTTAAATATATTTTCTTAATTTACTCATATGTTAATAAAACTATAGTTATATGTTAATACAACTATAATTATATGTTAATACAACTATAGTTATATGTTAATACAACTATAGTTATATGTTAATACAACTATAGTTATATGTTAATACAACTATAGTTATATGTTAATACAACTATAGTTGCATTAACAACATCTTATATATCTATATATATATAGATATATATCTATATATATATATATATTTAAAATACCATATCTTTTTTATTTTAAATTAATTATTACAAATTGTATATCTAATATTACAATAATAATTTAATTTAATTTTTTAAATATTATCTTATGTATAATAAATAAAATAAAATAATTTATTAAGATTTGAAATAAAGATGTATAATATTATAAAACTAAAAAATAGATGATTTGTTACTTACATAAAATATTAAAAAAATTTAAAATCATTTAGAATAATTAAGAATGTCTTAAATAAGCTTAATGAATATTTGATCTACCATTTACATCAAAAAAAATTAATTAGGTTTTTTACAAAAGTTTTTTTTAAATATATTTTATTTTGAAATAATTTAATGAATAAAAATAAAAATATATCAATATGTAAATATACTAAAATAAAAAATGTGAATATGGATTAAATCTAAAAAAATTAAAAATACCTATATTATTTACTTTAATTGAAATAGTGAATATACAAGTAAATAATTGATAGATTTATATTCAACATTACTATGAGTTTTATAATTATCATTTATTTAGTTTAAATTATTTAATATTTATGTATAAATATCTTTATTAATAAAAAGTCATTTTAAGAATTATAAAGAAATATCAATATCATACTAATTGATATATCTTAATAAAAAAACGTTATAAAATTTTGTTAACTTCTAATTATGAAATAAAATAATTATGTTTCAAATAGAAAGAAATCCAGGGATAAAAATATGTATGTATATATGTATAAATAAAAACACTAATTAAAGTATATAGCACATATTTATTTATACTTATTTAAAGATGCTTTTGCTTGGAAGCTCATAAGATATTGGATCAAGATAAATCAATATTTGTTTGGTTTTTTCAAAAGAAAAATAAATCCTACAGTGGGTGAGTAGCAGACAGATTCGATCCAGAGCGATCTCAATGGCTCACCTCTTTCCAAGTCCAAACATCCCACAGCAAGCGACAAGTGTCAGCTACTGAAACTCGTACAAAGCAACGACAACCAGGGTTCATCGAAGGGTTATTTTTTCATTCATCCAAACGATGAAGAGTCGCCGCAATCCCCGCGGTAAACGAGACCACAGAGGCGAGCAGAAGAAATCCGGGGTCCAAATCAGAAAGGATTTACTACCCGGGGGAAAGAAACCCGGCCAACTGATGCCGGGTTGAAGATACTACCCGCCATTGGAGGCGGAAACTCGCTAGCTTCCCCCCACCCGTGCCCCTAAGCCCCCCCACCCCCTGCCACTCCACGGGGGACGGGTGGGTCAAGCCCGTTCATTCCATGCCCATTGTGGAACGCCCCATCCCCGTGCAATACCGACCTCTACTCAGCAGCGTGTCCTTCAATCGTGTTCTCGGTTGCTCGCTCGGTCGCCGACTCAATTGTTCTCTGTGCCCCTCTCCCTCCCTTTCTGCCTCTCCCTCCCTTTCTGCCCCTCCCCTCAGCGCTTCCGCGCCCCTCCCTCCCCTCACCTCCTGCGGAGACTCTACTACCTCTCGGTCAAGGTACTTCTCAATGGAATCACTATAAAATCTGTTTCGACGGCGCGATGACGCCAAGTAAGCGTTCTGGCCGGATCGAACTTACGAGCTTGGGCGATTGGTCGGATATCAGCGACGTTTTTTCGTTGTATGAGTTCGAATTGCACGATAAGATTGTTATGCATTTTTGGGTGTACGTAGCTGAGGTGGTGAGTGTAGGGATCAAAGTTGTTTTTTTTTGGGCATTGGTCTACATGGACATTGATAACGGCGCGGGAGGGGCTGCGGATGATGAAGGGATAGTTGGGTATGCTTTTGGCTTGGAGCTTTTTGAATGCCCCGAATATATTGCAAACGGAAGAATGTGGCTATCGGTTTTGAGAGTTGAGTGTGTGTGTGTGTGTGTGTTTGTGTTGGGTTTTTTTGGGGTGTTTTGAATCTGGTAGAAGAATTGAGGTGTTAGCGGTAGTTGTGATCGCGGATGTGAGCTCCATTCTTTTCCTTGTAGATGCATTGCTGGATTAGGCAAGGAATTGGCAGCTCATTTGTGAATTTCGTTTCTAACTCTGCGCATTCTGTTTTTTTTACCCAGAAATCACGCCCCCGCTCCACCAATACAGCAAGAACCTGCAGATTTTTTGGTTGATTTCCTCCAGGAATTGCCCGATGTGACGAGAGTCATTGCTGAGGCGCTGATAACTTTGCCCAAAGTAGACACTGAAAATGAAAACTGAGTAGCTTTTTTGCCTGCACCTGCACCTGTACCTGCCTTGCAAGCGATGATTGTCTGCAATTGAAGCTATTACTGTGGCTGCTGGCGCCGTCGTAGTGCAACCTTGTTTCAACCCGTTGAATGCCAGATGTAAACTACGTGGATTCTCGAAATCTTGGTTCGAATGGTTTGTTAGAGGCCCCACACATGTCTCATTCGAAAACCAGTAATAAATATTATTTGTATGTGATGAAATCATGGTGTTGCGATCGTTATTCGAGACGTGCTCTGTTTAGGTGAAGGCCTTTTTTCATCTAAGATGGAACCTGTTGATGAACTGCCAGCTTCATTTCAATGAATTACTTCAGCACTCTGGATGAATTCGAAGCTCCGTGTCGTCCTACGACCCTTGAAACAGAGTAAGTGTTGCTCTTTGCGTGAATTTCTTCCCCTTCTCAAACTGAAGGCGTTTTTTGTATATGAATAGCCTTACATTACCCACCTCTTAAGCCTTCAAATTGTAAAAAAAAAAAAAAGTCCATCTGTTTGAGCATAGAAGAGCCATTTCTTCTAGCCCCATGGAAACTTGAGCCTTTTCTCTTGCCTTCACAGAGAAAAACATTAGCAGAATTTAGAAGAGGGAATAGGTTGGAAGGAAAAAATCTACAGGAAATTATGCTTAGTCAGAGTCCTTCGAACAGTGAGATTATTTCATCATCTACATTTATTGTAATCGCAACCGATAATCGTGTCAGGACCTGCTACATAAAACACATGAATGTGTTATTCAGAGGTAAGTATTCATTATTGCATCTTCACGAATTTTAGTTCATACCACTCTTATCAGATGCACTGTTTTACAGGACTTGCATACGTGATATTGAATTCCTTTCAAGATAAATATACATTGTTGTAGAAAAACAGACTATATTCACCCCCCCAGAAACCTTGTACCATTTATTTTCCTAGTCTGGTGCTGAGTGAGTTTTTCAAATGGCGTGGGAATCAACAACACTGCAGTAGGACTCGGTCTACTAGTCCACGTTATCAAAGCATCACGAAGGGGAATGCCATCCCCCCCCCCCCAAAGAAAGTAATAAGAATCTGCATAGATTCCTTTCGATTCGAATTCACAGAGATGTACGTTCATCCCAATCCACTGTGGATTGCTGAACCTTGTACGTTCATCCGCTTTCCCGAAGGTTTTTAGAGTTTGCGAAGCTCGACAAGAAGGCGATGCTTGTAAATACGTTTTGGTTGCCATTGCAGAGGCGTGTGCTTTATGTTAGATTTACGGCGGATTGAAGGTGTAGTAGAGCTAACTGGTAGACCATGCCTCTTACACAAGCTCAGAGTTATGGCCGCCGAGTGCATCCCGTGTCGTGTCGGTAGCTCCGCATTCCTTGTGTTCGCTTTCTTGTGACTCTGTTCTTCTGTACCCCGTAGAATTTTCTTTCACCATTCTTGGGTGTGTAGACAATCATCCTTGGATTTTTGCATGTTCAAATGCTTCTCAGCTTGAACCGTTCTGCAGTTTTTAGAAAGAGTAAGATGAAATATTGGGCCATGTCGTACTTGGAATCTGATTCAATGGATGCCTTGCATTTTATCAGGAGTGTGATTAATGGCAGCACCACACCACTTCAGGTACCGCCTCCAGCAGCAGCTCCAACATTAGCTGAGGGCTGGATACTCGCTTCCCTGTAGGACTGGCAAGAGGCGAAATGCTACCTTTTCGATGCAATGTCGTCGCTCAAACAACAACTCTTGAACTGTTCACAATCAATTCTCAATATGAATTCTCGGGACTTCAGACTCCTGTATGCTTTCTCATCATCTCTTGGTGTGTAGCAGTAAGAGAGAAGAAGCTCCGAGTAGATTCTGCACTAAAAACAACCAAAATGGATTCTGCAGTGGTCACTTTGACGTGACCCTAGCATAAGCTGAATCGGGAATCCTGTGCTTTTAAATTTGTTCCTGTGAAAGATATGGCGGTGGTTAAAACTTCTTTGTCGAAGGGCTGTAAAATTGAGATAAGTTAGGTCTATGAATCTGCAAAATGACTTGAAAGAAAGTCCATTTGATCAACTCCCCACAGATCTATTCCTTTGACTTCGGTCGCAGCTACTTCTCAAGAAAAAAAAAACAATGGAAGCACGGATTACTGGGGTATTGCGTGGGGAACAATGTTTTCATGTTGTTACAAATTTCTATCAGCCAACTGAGAAAGATCCAGAACATGTCACCGGTCTGGTAGTAGTATATCTTGGAACGTGAATTGTTCTTACATCATCACCTTGACTCTACATCAACACTAAACTACAAGATAGAACATACAATGCTACATTTGAAAGGAAAGAAAACTGATCGTCAATTCAAGCAACGTCTGTGGTCATCAACATTCGTCATGGAGTGAATCACAGATTTAGCTTCTCGATGATTTGTTGGAACAATGCGAGACGTTGCTAATCTCGTGACTGCCAAGAGGATTATTTGGTAAAAGTACTGAGTTTTAAGAACTTCCAGATTGCTGAGATGCTCTGTTCATCGGCGATGCTAAGTGGAAATTGCCGAACACACAAATGCACTGCACGAACATAAGTACATCATTCAGACTGGGCAATTTGATGAGGCCGTGGACAGGGATTATGGCTACTGCAGCAATTCACAGGAACATGAGCACTGCAGGCATTCCGACTGGCGTCTTGTGGCAGAAACGGAGAGGTAAACCAGCACAACAATCTCAGCTCGTTGTCCATCTCTCTTGGTATACCCTTCGGCGATAGTATTGGTGCCACTGTTGAAAGGCTTTAACTACCCCACTTCACAAATAGAGCTCAAGCTTTGACACACGATTTATAGAACTGTCCTTGGAAAGATCACTTTTCATGCTAAGTAGACGCAGAAAGTCATAGCATAGTTAATATGCCTAACTGTAACCATCATCAAATCAGAGGTCAACAGGTCGTCACATCACCCACACAAACACGTGAAAAGCTTTTAAAACAAGTCTGGGTGCTGCGGAATTTGGAAAACGAGGACATATGTTACCTGCAAGGCAAGCAGTGCAGAAAAACAAGAGTCCTTGAAGACACCACAATTTGTACAATACTAGGAGGGGTAGATCAGTTGCATACAGATGTGGAGTAACTGATAGATACAATCGTGAGACATGAGACGATGAGCTTTCTAATGGCGGATCTTACTGCTGATGCTGCTCGCACAGTAGAGGGAGAATAAAACTGCAGGCTTGTTGAGCAATGTGCTGAGTTTTGTCCGACAATGACTCTTTCACGTTCTAGCAGGAAGTCAAGGAGTCAATAAGCTCTCCACCTCAGTTCGTGATTAGTTAGTATGATAAACGTCACTCATCGTTCTGAACATGAATTAGTGGATGGGGTTAACGTCAGTGTAGATGAGAATTCCACTTGACAAAAATGAAATTTGTAGCTCAACCTTTTGTGGGTTTTCAGAGTAGGATTGACAAAACTATGAGCCATTCGAACATGCACGACAAGTTTTTCTTCTAACGAATGCAGTAATGTTACCGCTGTTGGCCATGAAACACTCGCTTGATTTGATTGACAAACATATTATAAGTGTATTCTACTCATTTTTTAGCTGTTTCTAATTATATCAGGCTTTGATCCTCCTCCAACTCGAGTATAATTTCCTTTGTAGAATCAGAATTAAGTTTCTAGAGAGTTTTTTCTAATAATAGATACGCCTTCAAACTCTGGAGCTTTTGTATCAACCCACTAGGCGTGCAAGTGCAGAAGAGTTATTTTTTATTTTTGATCTTGTTACTTTTTTTTTTCTGTTTGCTCGTACAAATGTTACAAGAAATTGGTCAGCATTATGGTAAATGTTTGATATTATAAAAAAAATATTGTTTTATAAAAGATAGATATATAGATGGATAGATAGATAGTGCAGGGATATTTTGTTACACCCCTTGGATATTTTGGTACCCTTGTGATCAAATTCATGACTTCATCAAAATTTTCTTTCTCCATAGCCTTACTGCCTCACAAACCATTGCATTACCTTGTTTCCTCATTTTAATCACAGGATGTACCAAAATATGCAAGAGAAGGTACAAAAAGAATTGTGTATGTATATATATATATATATATATATATATATATTAAGATCTTGATTAATTCTGTTTGAGTGTTTTACTTTAAATTAATATAATTATTTTTTAATAAATAAATAAATAAAAATAAACATATCAATATATGTTTCTAATGGTGACTAATATTTTTTTAATATATTTAAATACATTTATAGAATAAAGTAATTTTTATTTTAAATTGTGATTCTTATTCATGTTTATATCTATATCTATTGAAATTGTGAGATATTTTATTCTTTGTTTTAGAGCATAATTACTTTAATCATAATTAGATCTTGTGGAATGAACTTAAAATGTTCATTGGTTTTATCAAATAAAAAAAAAATATCTAATAAATAAAAATTATCTAATAAAGACATCAATTATACTAACTCATGTTTCTATTTCTTCATAAAGATATATTTTTTGATTATGTTAATAAATAAATTTAAAATATCTAAGTTTTGTTTAGACATGGAACCAAGAACTTCCATAATGTTTTTTTTATAAGCAATTAGAAGTCTTTTATATTATCAAAAATAGACCTTAGTTTTAGTTTTATTAGTCTATAGAATAATTTAATGAGTCCTTGATTAGTACAAACCTTTGACATAAGAACATGGTGTGATATAGATTTATCACTTTTTTAGTTGTTGAGTCAATTCTATTTTATAGAGTTTCAAAATTATTTTGTAACAATATATTGAAGTAATACACCTTTAATTTTATAAGTTTTCATAGTTACTTCTTTAATAAGTAAAATAAAAAAAATCCTAATATACTCTATAAGAAAATCAGATTATATTTGTGACTTTCAATATACTAAATTATAATTTATTATAATAATAAATTTAGAAGAAAATAAAATAAAGACTACATAATCATATCTAAAGCCTCTTTATATCTAAATAACTAATAAAACATATCGTAAAAAATTATTTGTGCATGAGATTTGTAAAGGCAAAGACTACCATTTCTCCTTTCTTTTCTATTATGTTTATATTATAAGCAACATAGAACCAAGTAGAAATAGGGCCTTGGGATCCAAAAAACATCATAAAATAAAATTGTGTCTTTATTGGTTCAAACCATAAAATAGGTTGTATAATCACATAGTAGAAATCTCTATTATTGAAAAATATTATTTATCCAATAAAGAAGAAATAGTGCACAAATACAATTGATGAAGGTTACATCTTTGATTACATTTGCAAAACTGATAATTTGTAAATTCTAGTTGTCAATCAAATAAATGAATAAATAAATAAATAAATTATAATTTATAAATAGTGGCTATGACTTAGTTACATTTAAATCAATAAATTCAAATTAAGAATTAAATTTAGAAATAATCATATTCTAATCAAATTATTTAATCAAATAAATATTTTCTAATAAAATTTTAAATTAGGTGTAATTTTTTTTGGATTTTTTATATCTTATATTTCTATGGTAGAAATTAAATATTTTTTATTTATTTTTTACATGTTTTATATTAAAATAAGTAACATAATTTATTATCTTATTATTTTTGAAAGAATTAAAAGTATATTATATATTGTCTAAGTCTTATGTAACAAAATTTCTACTTAATATTTAATTGCATAAATATTGAGTCTCTTCAATAAATTCTATTTCTTCTATTATTGAGTTAAGTGAATTCTAGTGTAAAAACGCATTGGCAATCTAGCTATAGAAAAGATTTATCTAAATCCTAAAGTTCTTCTAATAATTCAAAAATTAAATAAGGTGTTTATAAACATATGTTGTGATAATTTTAATTTTGTTAGAAATCCTAAGCTTAATTGTTTCAAAATCTATCAAAAATAAATTACAAATCTATACAATTATAAAAAATCTATAAAAAGTCTCCAGCAAGTTTTTATAAGATCCATAAAAAATCCCTAAAAAAATCCTAAATAAAGTCCTAGCAATTCCATTAAATCTTAAGAAACTTTTAAAGAAACTTGAAGTACATTATAAAAAATCTTTAAAAAGTCTAAAACCTTCTATCAAATCCTAATTAAAATCCAAAGAAACCTTAGTAAATCCTATCAAATCCTTAAATAAATCTTTATCAAATCCTATGAAAATTAAACAAAATCTCAACTTTTGTACAAATTCCTATAAATTTTTACTTAATCATTTATTTTTCTTTAAAATTTATAAAATTTTAATTGATTAATAAAATTAACCTTAATTAATGAGAAGAATCGAATTCAAAACCTAAGAGAAAAGACGAAAAAAACTATCTATGTATTAAACAAAATTATATTTTAATTTTAATATTAAACTCTTAATTGCAAGATCTCTTTAATATTATTAGTTTGCACTCAAACTTAATAAGAATCTGTATTTTTATTTTGTGTAATTTTTATGTATTAATTATAATTAAAAATATTTATCATCTAATATTCTTCTATTTTTATATTGTAGACCTCTTTGAATTGTACCATAATATTCAACAAAATTTAAAATAAAGTTTTTTTCGCCAAGTTCTTTACATCTAGTTGAAAAGACATATAATACAAGCAATTTATTGCTTTGAAGTGCTCATAATATAGTAATAACAACTTTAATGAGTGAAGACTCTAACTAAAATATATTTTAAGAAAAAAAAATTAAATTTTAAAATTATATATATATATATATATATATATATATATATAATTTTAAATTTCATAAAAAAACATTTTTTTATTAAATTTAGTTTTTTAATTATAAATAAATTCTTTATTTATCTAATTTTGATAAGTATTTAAGACACTTGATCTTGATTTTTTCATTCAATATTTAGACTCTTTAAAGACTTACAACTTATAATTTCTTATTCCTTTTACCAACCCCTCTTTCTTGTTTCAATTCTTCCACCCTTGACTTTCATCTCTCATCCCAACCTCTCTACTTAAATAAGTTATAATCTTATAATTGTTTTTTTTGAAATTCTTATTATGGAACTCTATGATCATGTTTAATGTATAGTTGATTGATTGATTCTTTAAGTGAAGTTAATCTAAACAAATAAACTTATCATTATAGCTTATATTTATTAATTCTACCTGTATTTTACTTTACATGCTAATTGCCTTATTCTTGAAGAAATTATATAGACACATACAATGATTATAACTTTTTGAGCATTAATTTGTATACCTTTATAGGAACTTGAAGCCATAAGAATGGATGATGATAAAGGTGACAAATCTGTTGATGAATCTGGGTAAGTGGTGTAGCAAGAAAGAATATTGGTTTTGTATAGAAAAGGAGTAATAACTGCCATATAACATGTAATAAATTGTAGACTCTATAATGGATTTTTGTAAATGTTTAATTGAGGTGAGATTTTGAATGTTGAATAAGTTTATTCTTGTTTGAAAAAAAGTTGTAGTGTTTTTGAGCTAAGCTTGCTACATCTTATGAAGATAAGTGTTTCATATATTTAGTGATTTAAGAATAATAACTTGTTGAATAGAATATTATATAGATTCAAAATTAGCAACCAATTTGAATCACTATTGTAGTAATTGTAGACAAGTTTTTATGATTTCTCAAAGTTTAATTTTTTTGTGAAAGACTATAAGACTTGGAATTGATTTGCGGATTTGCTTCAAAAATGCTTAAAACTTTTTAATTTAGTAATGCTATTGAAAAAGCCAAAGAGAAAAGTACAAGGTGGATTTGATGGTTTTGAATATTAGATCAAAGATAGGAGCTATAAGCAATTGTGATTTTATGAACAAAGCTGCTAATACACAAATTTCCATTATCTTAAAGTTTTTTCTTAGAAAGCTTTAATTTTGTGCTAATATGAAGGTTCAAGCAAAAATAGTAGTAGATAACAAACTCTTCTATAATCTCTAGACAATGATTTTAGATTGGGAATCTATAATTGAAGGTGCAAAGTGACATCAATACAAATTACAATCTCATTGCTACATCTCTTAATATGATTAGATTTTCATAATCCAATGCGACTCGATTTGGACTACATCATCGATTTGTTGCTAGTTAAGATATGATTTGTTTGTAGAGCCAACTAGAAAGAATTGGTAAAATGGAACCAACTCATCTTCTAGATTTCAAACTGATATTCCCGAGTAGTTTTTAAGACCTTGCCATTAGCCAAATGTCTAAGATTTCTACTATGATATCCAATTTTCTACTACCCTTAGAATCATTGGCTTATTTAAATGGTCTCAATGGAATTTTAAATGTGGCACAATATACTAGCTACTAGAGAAGCAACAATCCTCTTAATTCAAATTCCATTGATGAGGGCTTAGTTGGTGCAATCATAAGTTAGAAGCGATTATACTCCAAGAAATATAATCCTTTCTCCTTGCACTATATTGCTACATGGAATTATCCTTTAATCTCCCTCATTATTGATTACTTGAACATTGTAGGAAGCAATAGGTGAGGGAATTTGGTATCACATATAAGTGAAGAGATGTTGTGTTTAGCTTCTCTTGAGGAAGTTGTGAAGAATGAAACAAAAGAATTATTATCCTTGTGGTGCATAGGCAATTCAAGCAACACACATGATTAATACAATTTAATTTCAAGAATTCTTTGGGTCAAGAGACAAAGAACAAGGATCACGCCAAGGGACATGAAATGAAGGCTAAAAATAGTATTAAAGGATTAGAATATTGAAAAGAGACATAGAATGGAGAGGTCAAGACATAATATGAGTACTAAGAATGAGAATTAGAGACAAAGAGGTGTAAAAATGGTTTTAATAGATGGGTTGATGTAATAAAAGTTAGAATCAATTTAACATTTTTTTATATTTTGATATTATAGTTATTTTTTATAATTTTTTTAAATAGATAAATTGATAATCTTAAAAATATGTATATAAATTTGACCTAAATCTCAATAATTTTATATATGTATGCATGTGAATATTTTTATTTTTCACCAAATAATTAAGTAAGTCACTTTCTAAATTATATAAAATAATTATGAATACTTGTATTTAAAGTTCCATAATGTAAATCATATTCCAAAAACTTTCAAACATGTGCATGGTTCAAGACCAATTATTTCACAACTAATAACACCCAAAAAAATCTTTATTAAGTCAAACATGGAAGTATCAAAATAATAAAAAAATCAAAATATCTTATAAGTAACTCAACTTTGTTTCATGATTTTACACACATTTGTTTGGTATGAAGAATCAAAATTATGCTATTGCTTAGATGATGCATTTTGCTAGGAGGAAGTTTTTCATTTGGTCCATATTTTCATGGAAGGCATCAAATGAAACTCAACAAGTCCACCTTCCAACACAAATTAGCACCATTTTCTTAATATGAGGGAAGCTATCTTGGATTTGTTTGGCCTTCACCATGGTGAGAGTTACTTGATTTTACTAGTTTTCTAGATCTCCTTTCTATTACAAATTTTTATTTATCTTTTCATGATTCATTATGTTAAAAAAATAAAGAAGTAAAAAAAATCATTGGATAATTATATTTAATATATCTTTCAACTATAATAATATTATATAAACTCATGTGTTTTTAAATAAAAAATTCAATCTAATCTTTAAATGCTCCCCTTCTTCCCCCGTCCAGTTTATTTATTTATTTATTTTATTATTACAGTCATCATTATTTTTGAAATCTCCCCAGTAAAGAAAGAACCAATTACAATTGAAGCAGGACAATACCCAAGAGAGCTTCCGCCCTGACCAAGAAGAGGGTGCTGGACATTGCTCCTCAGAAGTCTACATCCAAACAAAAATTTCAATACCAAAAATAACATTATTCATAATAGTAATGAGAAATCAGAAAATTAGGTGTCGATTGGACCAAAGAGGACCCCCCCCCCCCTCCACCTCCTCATCACTGCACAACCCATACATCACATCACCCCTAACACCCAACGAAAATTCACTATTCACTTGAAGAATCTTTGGTGCAGTAGTGTCCAATGAGTGGTGAGAAATATACATTGAAATGCTCTGAGTGTATATATACATCAATTTACTTCACACTTGTAATGTGAGCTATGAGAAGCAGGCTGGTGGTGGTGGTGGTGGTGGTGGAAATTCCATGGGATATCCATTCTGTCATGCCACAAGTGATTAAGGCACCATGCAAGCAAGTGGGGCCACACTCACTCACTCACTCACAGGAAAGGAAGGAAGGAAGGAAGGAAGGAAGGAAGTGCAAACCTTGAGAAACCCACACATTCACACACACACACACACACACGGAAGGGAGGGAGGGTGCGGTGTGAAAGGAGGAAGAGGACACACAACAAGAGAGAGCCATGGTGATGCCCCATGAGCGTGCAAGAGCCATCAAAATGCGGGACAAATTCGCCTTTCTTCGTTTCATGGGGCATCAAACAGCCCTTATGACGGCGCCGCACTCTGCCATCCGCAACGCACTCACTCACTCAATCACGCTAGTCCTCTACCACCCACCCCACAAAACCCCAATCCTACGCTGCTTTCTCTGAGTTGGTGGTGATTCTACTCAATTTTTTAACTCGTGGCAGTGTGTGCAGTAAGTAGTATGGTTTTTTTTTTTTTTTTTTTTTTTTTTTGGTTTTTTTAAGGAAAAAAGGGTTTGAAAATCTTGTTTGGGTACTTTGTTCTGTGCATTTGAGGTGTTTGCAGCGAGAGAATTGTACCTGGTAGGCCGGAAGTGGGGAGTAACAGGGCGTGAGAGGCAATGCCTGGAGTTGTCTTGGTGTCGTTTGCGTTCAGTTGTGAAATTGACGCTTAGTGAGTTGCGTTGGAGTGCGCTGCTGGCGGCTGAAGGATCAGGGGGCTTGAAGAAGGGGATTGGTCTGCAGTAGGAGCAGGAAAGGAGGGATTACTGGGTCGTTTAAGGCGGTTCGCGGTTCGTTCAGAGGAGCTTGGGTCAATATGAAGTATGTACTCGTTACTGGGGGTGTGGTGAGCGGCCTTGGAAAGGGAGTCACGGCCAGTAGCATCGGAGTTGTACTCAAGGCATGTGGTCTTCGGGTCACATCAATCAAAATTGGTATGCGCATTATGAAACAGTAGGCGAATTGGGTCTTTCTTACCGTCGGGTTGAAGTGTGGAAGCAGGGTTTAGGGTTTTAGTAGGGGTATTAGAATTTGAATATCTTGGGCTCTTGTCAAAGTTGAGTGTGCCATTTAATTCATTATGGCGTCTTCGGTTTGAACAGGAAACTTGACAGCTTGCCTCTATTACATGAGTTCATGCCCTGTCGGCAGGAGCATTGACTGGCTTAATTCGAGTGGATTTCTATCATTTCCTTTCATTTTTAAAATTTATGTGTGACGTGTAATTGCTTTCTGAATTCCTGTGTCTTATTCCTCGTACCTTTAGATCCTTACCTGAACACTGATGCCGGAACCATGTCACCTTTCGAACACGGGGAAGTCTTTGTTTTGGACGATGGTGGTGAGGTGAGCTTTCAGCAGTGTGTTGCATAATTTAGAGTGTTAAACGGCTTATATTTAGATGTTACGATTGTATGCGGGGTTTTTAAATGCCGTTGCTGGTAGCACTGCTGTCAACCAACCGATTTGATAGCTAGTTTTCGGATTTTCACAATGGAAATCGATTCAACCGATACTCATGGCTGAATTAGCTCGAACTTATTGAGAAATTTTTCTTCAAGCATGTTCCATCGCTGTACCTTGGTTTTGCGAAAGCTATACAACATTGCAGCTCCTCAATTACTGTGAAAACCTTCTCATACTTGCTTTTACTTTTTATTTTTGCAGGTTGACCTGGATCTTGGTAATTATGAGCGCTTTCTGGACGTCACATTGACACGGGACAACAACATCACCACTGGGAAAATTTACCAGGTATCTACGAGATTTTGTTTTAAAGTTACCAAATTAGTTCTTGTGAGGATTTTCTGCATTGTTTCCGTTTTTCGTATTTTTGTAATTGGTTTTTTATTGTTTTTTAGTCGATTGCATGTTTCTTTTTACTACTCATGTGTTGATTTGTTTTTCACTATGGTCTTCTTTCGCTTTACTTCCTTTCCAGTGTTTGTTCGCAGTTTCCAGGATCTGTGTACAGAGAGCTCACACGTGAAGTTGATTTCGGATAAGCATGAATTATATGAAACCTTCTTAGTAGTAGAATGATGTATGGGTATGTTGTTACTGATTCGGTTTATGTGCGTCCAGGCAGTGATAGAGAAGGAGAGGCGGGGTGACTTCCTGGGAAAAACTGTTCAGGTGTGATCATCGGGAATTTTAACTGATATCTATGTTATCTTCGTCGGTAGACGCTTCAACTAAAATGTTTCTATGCCCCACTCATATATCAATTCTTTCAATGTGAAATCTTGTTGAATTTAGAGATTCAGCCGAATTATATTTTGGTCTGGTTTCGGGTGGTTTTCATTAATCTGGTCCTTATTTGAGCCACTTCTCTTATGAAAGTTTATTGGGCGATTTTGCACAGTTGTAGTAGGTTGTATGAACGCAAGTGTTAGATCTACAGCCATCGGTCACGTGGACACATTGAATAAACCTCTTTTGGAATCATTCATTTAACTGATACCTTATTGTTGTTCCGATGGGGTGTGGTTGTAACGAAACAGGTTGTACCACACATCACAGATGCTATTCAGGACTGGATTGAACGAGTCGCTAGAGTTCCAGTGGACGGACATGATGGAAGTGCAGATGTTTGTGTCATTGAGCTGGGAGGCACTGTTGGTACTTATTTTGCTCCCTTCAATTTAGATGTTATTGAAGTTGTTGATATTTACGGTCAGATGTTTGTCAGAGTATCGTGTAAATAATTGACGAAGAGGATATTGCTTTCTCGAGGTTAAAGAAGTTGATTCGTTACAAGTTTGAGAAAACGCAGTACCTACGTATGGACCAACTTTGTCGTTCTGTTGAACCCTTGTGCTTGTGTGCCTGCTTGCACTAGGATTTTGTCTCATGCTCGGCCTTTTCAACTGGAGCACTTAATTATATTTTTAACTGATATATTATACATTATAACGCAGTACAGATTGTTGACGGACTCTTACTCTTATTGTTTGTAAGTTGATCACTTACTGCATGGGATGATCTGGTTTTAAATGCAGGTGATATTGAATCCATGCCTTTTATTGAAGCTCTCCGACAGTTCCAGTTTCGAGTTGGTAATTTTTATCTTATAATTTCGATTTACTGACTTGAGAATCATTCTTGGCGCATACTGGATTCCCTTTTTTCGTAATAGCTTATGATAGGTTCTTAATTGGAATTTTTGCCATGCAGGTAATAGCAACTTCTGTTTGGTCCACGTGAGTTTGGTTCCCGTTCTGGGTGTTGTGGGCGAGCAGGTCAGAGAATAAAATCACCCTGTGTAACGTGATTTCGTAGTTCTTCACCTAATTTACCCAGAGCTTGTGTCACGTATCTGTAGTTCATGTTCACGACTTTGACCCTGAATTTCTCACTGATCTGATATATATATATATATATGATTTTTACAGAAGACAAAACCAACACAGCACAGCGTTCGGGAACTTCGAGCACTGGGTCTTACTCCTGATTTGCTGGCTTGCCGAAGCGCCCAGGTAAATCTTTTCAGGTTTCGGTGCATATTTAGATAACTTCCAATCAAACATGAAATGAGTTTGTTTCCTTGTTTAAGCAACACATGAAAATGGCTTGTTTACACATCATTATTTAGATTTTTGTTGAATTTATTGAATTTTCTTATGTTCTTTTTAACATTTTTAATGTGTGTGTTGCAGCCCTTGGAGCAGGCCACCAAGGAGAAGCTCTCTCAATTTTGCCATGTTCCAGTAAGTGTTCAATTAGTTTTACTTTAGGCTTCTTAGTGATAACCGTGAGATTTTCCATGGCTTTTCTACTAAATTGAGGGGATATCATCTTTCCAGTCGAACTCGTCTTTTGTGCTGATCAACCAGAAGGTCATGCTATTTAGATTAGCTCTTGATTATTTTTGATGTACTCGAATTAGTTGCGTATATTATTGCTAAATTTAAGTCTAGAAATTGGGTTATCACTGATATTCTCGTTGGCTCCATGTATTGTGGTAGTAATTCATACATGTGTATTATAGCACACCTCATTTATATAAAGCTTTGTTTGAATAAATGCAACCTTTTTTTTTGTATTGGTTGGGTATGCAGGCTGCTCACATACTCAACATCTATGATGTCTCCAACATCTGGCACATCCCTCTCTTGTTGCGGGTATGCATAATTTCTGTCAAGAACTTTCCAGCACTGTGCTTCTTGTATGTAGCATGTCAGAGCAAAGGCATTTGTTTTGATTATCAGGAAGTTGATGCTGGTCATTTTTTTTGGTCATTATATTGGGACGAGGTTCTACAACCATTGATGAAATGCGACATGAAGGTTCATGTCCAAGAAAAGTAAGTAGTGGCAGATTCCGAATCGTTGCTATTTAGGTCGGCATTCTCTTGCAGTACTATGTTTTATCTGGAATTGACTTTACAATAATATGCAATGAGCAGGATCAGCAAGGACATCTAGCGATTCTTCGCAAACTTCAGTTGAGGTTAGTTTGGAATGTTTGGATCTGTTCATCTACGTGTGGTAGTTTGATCTTATAGCAACTTACAACACTTTTAGCTTTCAGAAATGAGTATCCTTCTTGTGTGGAGCACTAATTCGGCAGCATTTAGTTGTAAAGCTGATCTGTTTTTATGGAACTGCAAAGTTTTGGGGTTTGACGTGTTCTTATTGTATCGTGCAGTTCTGTACCGCCTCCCGATTTGGAGAAATGGGCTGCGCGAGCTGAGCGATGTGACAACCTTTCTATCCCAGTAAGTTTCTTGACTGCTGCATTGCATACTGATGCATTTTTTCCTTCAAGAGCAATGATTTATTGGTTTTTTCTGTCCTCAACTGTGAAGACGAAATTTTCTTGACATCTATTGCGGATCTTTGCATGCAGGTAAAGATTGCAATGGTTGGGAAATATACCGGTCTGTCCGACTCGTATCTGTCAGTTCTCAAGGTAGGTTGAAATATTTGGTTTTCATTGTTTTAGTCGGTGTCAACTTTCTGCGAAGAGGCTGTTGTAAACTGTGACTCTACACCCGTTGCGAATTTGCTCAATATTGCGTCATTTTTTGCGGCATGAATACTTCCTCTCTCCTGACTATCAATACGTTGAGATCTCAATCAGTAGAAGAGGAAATTTTCCGTAGAATTTGACATACTTTATATGTGTGGTAAGGCTCTGCAACATGCCTGCATCGCATGTTCAAGAAAGTTGGTGTTGGAGTGGGTTGCAGCTACTGATCTTGAAGATCGTGCTAAGGAGGAGGTACGATCTTTGCTGAATGTGCATTAAAGTCGCAGTCTTTTGTGTCAGTGCCAGGAACAGACTCAGTTCAAGGGAGTTTTGGAATGTACCAGGGCTTGGCTATTTCAGGGAATTACGGTTTATTGTTACTGCTGGGCTTAGCATGCATGGTCTTTTGTCCTTGATTCAACTGCGCTTGTATTGTGACGACTGAATGCTTCCTTTGTGCGGGTGCAGACACCAGAAGCATACGATTCTGCTTGGAATACCTTGAAGGTACCCTCTTTGGCTTGTTTATGTCATTCTGTCAGATTGTTTTATTTGGTTTTTTAGCATATTTTCTTCAACACATAGAGTTGTCTGCAGAAGTGTTTAGGTTGGATTAAATTACTTTAAGGTTGTTTACTGATTAGATTTTCTGTCGCCTTGCGCAGAATTCTCATGGTGTGCTTGTACCTGGTGGATTTGGTGATCGAGGAGTGCAAGGAAAGATACTAGCCGCCACTTATGCTCGTACAAATCGGGTTCCTTACTTGGGAATTTGCCTTGGGATGCAGCTTGCTGTCGTGGAGTTTGCCAGGAATGTAGGCAACCTAATTTCCTTGCACCCGCATGTTAATGGCAAATGTTTTCAACATGAAAACATTACTTAGCACCTTTGGGACTATTTTTTGAAAAAGAAAATTTTAAGATATGGTTTTTGTGGTTTACGCGCTTAGAAGTTGTGGATAATTCACAACTTGCCTTTTGAGAAGTATTTCTTACACCGGAACTTGTTTATGATTGGTAGGTCCTTGGACTGAAGGACGCTAATAGCACTGAGTTCGACTCTGCCACACCGCATCCATGTGTTGTTTTTATGCCAGAGGTTGGAATCTCCTCGCCGTTACCAATGCAGAGGTTTTGTTTGTGGTTCAGTCATAGTTTTGAACAATTTTCGTTCTCTTATAATGAGCTCTACCTATATCGCCTGCTGAAGTTACTGGATTATTCAACCGTTCCTTTCTGGTGAACAAGCTCTTGTTTCAAAAAGCCTAATTTTTCTTTAACGACTTAAAATTTGTGGTTTTGTTAAGGTCTCTAAAACGCACATGGGTGGCACTATGAGACTAGGAGCTCGGAAGACACTGTTACAAACGGCTGATTGCATAACTGCCAAATTGTAAGTGTGGAAAGCTTTTAGTCTCTCCAGCACTGTCTTCGTGGCACCATATGTTAAAAACAGATAAATGTGTTAAATGTGGAAAGCTTAACTGGGAAATAAGGTTCTGTGTGCTAAGTTTTTCAGACATGTTCCTCTGTTTTTATGTTCGATTGAGGTCGGATCTGTTACATGTTTCTTTGTAGCGGCATTTTCTATTTATGCTCAGCCTGAAATGTTGGTTTTGCGTATGTTTTGTAGGTATCAAAAGGATTCATTTTTGGATGAGCGGCATAGGCATCGTTATGAGGTAATCATTCATTATTGAATCTCAGTGCTGGCATGTCAGGCTCCCCAGATATTGTGTGTTATGTCTTCCACTCTACTAACTAGTCTGTTTTTATTTTGGCAGGTGAATCCTGAGTTGGTGGAGAGTTTAGAAGCGGTAGGACTGCGCTTTGTTGGCAAGGATGAAACAGGGCGTAGGATGGAGGTAACATCGATTCCACTGCTGTTTCAATTGCACGCTGTAGCAATGACAAATTATTTGATGATAGCTTCAATGCTTACGACTGGAAATCAAAACAAGCATGTTCTCACTTCATGGTTTCGTGTGATCGTATCACTGTGCAGGTTTTGGAGTTGCGAGGACACCCCTATTACGTGGGTGTGCAATTTCATCCAGAATTTAAGTCAAGACCTGGAAAACCTTCTGCAGTATTCCTAGGTGAGGGTGTGTTGTCTCTTTTCTTGATTATAGTCGAATCGTCCATGGATCAGATTGGACAGTGTTCAACTACTCCTACATACTTTGAGAATATTGTTTCCTATGAAATGTAGTTTTAAACATACTTCATGATTCGCTTTCCGAGGAATTAATTTGCAATGCCGATCTGCAGTTTGAACACCCGGTAACCAGATTTATGGGCTGTATTTGCAGGTCTAATTTTAGCTGCCTCGGGTCAGATGGATTCATACATCAATGGGGCGCCTACATCTGTAACAGCTAGAAATCATTCAGCCACTAACTCCACACCTGACTCCAACCATGCTGAGATCTCCCAAGCTTCAGAAGGATTACATAGTCTCGCAGTCTAGGTTTGGTTGCTGGAGTGAAAGAAAATTATTGCACAGTGATTGTTTGCTAATCCATCATTGCCTTGCCAGCCTCTAAATAAGGAAACAATTCTTGTACGCTACTTTCTTATTTTTTATGTTTAATTTCCTATTTATTGCTCTGCGAGTGGTGAACTTAACAGTGGAGGGGACGTTTTGCAGTTGACTGCAACGGTATGGTTATCTATCCGAAGATAAGAATTTGAGTTCCCCTTATGTTACTGTCCATGATACAGAACCTTTCGTGGATACAATCGGAACAAGTGGCATTTATTAGTCCCCTGTCCGGATGTTACGCATCTATAAAACCACAATTTCCTTTGACAGCTTGAACGATCCCCAAATATTCGATTTGGACATTGACTTCTTCATACTGACAACATCCGATTCAAAGTTTGGTAGAATTACATAGATTACTGTGTTAACCATGAGATGGAAGTATGTGCGAGGAGCAGAACAGAAAATGTTCCGCTAGGAAGGTTCGTAACATTGATTCTTTCAGCTTGCAGAACAAGAGCTTTACAAAGTTCATCATAATACCAATTACTCAGTTGCCACCAAATCAAGACACAACAGTTGCAAAATACCACAATACAAACAATCCAGAAAAAATTGGATAAATAAAGCTGAAACGAATTGTGAAGAGAACAGTTCAAACTCGAAGATCAGTGAGGGCATAAACTAAGATCCTAGAACTTTAACCTGCTTCTCTAGGCGCGATCAAAGCATCATTTCAACCATTTTCTCTGCACAACACATAATTTATCACCTCTTTGAGACGTATAAGTTAAAATCAACACACCAAACTCAGCTGCGACGGTTTTACTAACTCCTCCATAAATGTACTCCCACTTCGAGGTATTGTTGAGCACTCCGGTGCGCAATGACAGGAAATCTCATAAAACCGCATTTGACTCGTTGAATGAAAAAGGGCGAGATCAACAAGCTCGTAAAATTAAGGATAGTATTTAAGAGTTGAACTCAGGTAGACCAAGAATCATCCCACTGGAAATTTTTTTTTCAGTAAGTGATTTCTCAATTATAAAAGGAGCTCCAAGCTTCTGTAACATACAACCACCTGTGCCCAAACATTCCAGCTCGCTATGCGACCCTTCCAGCTCGAAGCGCAAACCGCAGAGTGCGGGCAATACCAAGAATCAGATGTATAAAGATCATAGGGACTGTCCTGACAAAGGGCCTTCAAGGTGGAGTTTCTGGCATTCGGAAATGCAATCGATCTAAACATGTGATTAACCAAAAACATGTAAGTTGAGTGAAGCTTCTTACAAACTATTGAGCCGGTCTTTGGCAAGCACAGAACAGACGCCAAGTGATGAAGGACATCACGAGGGATGCCAATAACTCAAAGCTTACAACATTTGAAAATTCCCAAGCCAAACCCTTCCGCAAGTAGTTGGTGATGGACGGCATTGCCGCAACGACCCCCGCGGTTGTGTAAATGACCGGTACCAGAGCCGATGGCTTGTTCTTCCTCAACCACATGAGCGATCCCAGCGCGGCAAGAGACACAGTCAAGACCAAATTAGCATTGGACTCCAACCCTTGCAGTAGGTGCTCCCACGTAAACTCCAGCCCTTTGGCACCGACCCACAATGGCGCCAATCTGTGCAACAACGCATCAGCGAACGCCCAGCCCAATCCAACCGCCTGGAACTTATGGTCTTGGGAGATGCTCCTGTGGCTCACCTGGGTGAGAGCGTAATACAACCCACCCACATCCAGAAACCCAATGAGGCCCTTAAGAAGCTCCTGACCCAGATCGAAGTCATCGTGCTCGCTGACTTGCAGAAACGTTGCCTGGCAGATGAGCTTCACCAGGGTGGTTACTAAATACACGATCGCAGCTTTGATGCAAGTGCCAAGGGTGTCATACTCCGACAGTGGAGTAGCCTTGTAGTAAATGGCGTGAGGACCGAACGTGAGAGCGGCGCAGTTGAAGAAATGGAAGAACGTCATCTTCACAATGACGATGGTCGTGCTCCCTGGCTATGGCAGGGGATCGGGACGACGACCTGCAAAATTTGCACCTAAACTGCGAAACCCTAAACCTTCACCGGATGTGGAAGAAGAACTATATGACTCTCTCTGCTCGAGGACCCCCCAACTTCCAGGTCGTGGATGAATGTATTATGTGATGGATGGATGCATTTTTGGATGGATGCATTTTTGGATGGATGGGTGGTCGCGAACGGAATAGAATATTGAACAGGTGTCGATTCTGACGTTAAATGACTGCAACATTCATTTAAAACTGCAACATTCATTCAACTGCATCAATCTCAAGTTCTGAATTCACTAGAATTTTTCACATTCTACAATGAAATCTCTTTGATTTTTTTTCTTTTATTATTGCTATACAACTCTTATGTGATCAAATTATAGTTTCTTGAATATATATACTTAAAAAACTTTCAAATAGTATTACACATAATGAAAGTTATGTTTGGAGCAATATGTATATTCTTTGATACTACTTGCTTTAACATGCACTATTCGAAATATAAATCTAAGTTTAAGGTTTAGACTAAAAAAAACTTACACATGTTAATTTCTTGTGATATATTTATGTATTTTTTAAAAAAATCGAAATCTTGGATGATTTTTAATTTTATTTATTTATTATATTGTATTTTTTTTTACTTGAAGATAAAATAAAGGAGTTTGACAATAAGGCTAAAAAGATGTGTATTTGGATTGTTAAGAAACTAAGAAAAGAAAAACACATATAATTTATTTATTTTCTTGTTTTTGATAAAAATATTGTTATCTATAGGATTTTATTATAATAATAAGACATTGAATAATTTTTAATTTTATAAAAAATAAAAAATATTTAAAAAAAAATTAAAGTACTTTTATAAGAAATTTATTTTTTATACAAATTCATTAGATTTTTTTATGACTTTTAATTAGAAAAAAAGTCTCTGTCTTTATATATATATATATATATATATATATATCAAATCTAAATTATTTACTTAAAAAATTATGTTGCAAAGTATAATTTTTATATTACAAAATTATGTCTACTAGATGAAAACTTACATTCTAAACCTATTTTTTGTACAATGTAAGTTACATTTCTTGTTATAGAAGTGATATAATCTCTTATTCCTAGCTTATCCTTAACTAGTTGATTAATTTTCAATACTTGGTAATGTGGCTAAATAAAAACATCAATAATAAAGAGCTTACACTTGGGGGATTTTTCACATACTCTAGCAAAAAATGATTAATGGGTACAACTATTGTAAGGCAGGAGCCCAGAGGCACACCATCAAAATCAGCCACCGAAGAATGCCCTCACAATTTCTAATAATCTCCACGCATTCAACCATGAAACGTGAGATGTAATGTCGTTCAACCTATTCATTGAGCTTCAACTTCAGATGACACAATGACTCCTTTCAATTTAATCAGCTCACAAGATTAAAAATATTTGCAATTGTGTCGGTCGTAAATCTATAAGAGTTTGCATTATTGTTCCCAACTTTGAGTACTCCATTACAGTCTACTTTTTCCTGCAAAATGACTGTAGCTGCTCGCATAATGCACTTGTATCGAAAAAGTACTCTGGTACTGGGCCATATGAGAAAAAAGAACCGAGATACCGTCTTGGTACCTGTCGATTCAATGCTCTATGTCCAAGTTCGGGCAACGGAGACTGCCTTCCTGGACTTTCGTGTTAACACAATGAAGATAGCCATTGTGCTTACATGACATCGACCAAAGCTTTGGTAACAAATCTTAGAACTGCTTGAACTTTGATGATTTGCTGGTTGAAGTTAATTCGATAACAACAAATGTCTCTGACTGGTCAAAATCTCATAGCTCGATGCTACGCTCCGAAAACTACGCTACGCTCTGGTTGCCCATGGAGGATGTTACACTTAATTTACTACATTGTCCATGGCAGAAAGCGAAATAGCAAGGGATTTCCTTCCTCAAACCAGGACAAATGGAAACTAGCAGCAACAAGACGTATGCCTTCCGGTCAACACTGAAAAGCTAGCAGTAATCTAGCTGGGTATATGCCCATATTACAAATGGTTGATTCAATTTAGAAAAAAGACTACATTGTTCAGCAAAGACATGTTTAAACACATATGAATGTTCAAGAAGTCAAGCATTGAACCATCTCCAAATAGATATGTCTATTGAGGGACATTGAATGTTTTCCTGTGATTAATGAGCGAAAGAAAAGGAAGAGAGCAGTATGTTGGTTGAAGTCCAGTTAATTCATGAAGGTATGAGGTACACCTCCATCCTCACCAGCTCAAATACACATTCTTACTTCCCAAGAAGCTGTAGAAATGAGGGAATTGAAGCAAAAAATTGATTGAGCTCTAGGATTCTACAGATCCAGAGCTTTCAAGTGTAGGCAGACATGCCCACGGATGGACCAAACGATGTTTTATCCTCTCGAGCTCCCGAAATGACAACATAGTAAATCTCCGTCATCACCATGGTGATGAAAGTAAAGGCAGACGCCGCTGCGAACAAGCTCTTTTGAACTTCCTTGCAAGTAATATTACCCTCGCTTGGATCGTACAGGCGCTTGGTTTGGATTTTGTTCTGGCTTGCTCCTGCGAGAAGAGCTGACGAGGCGATTATGAAAGCGATCCTACAAAACACGTCGACCAGAGGTTAATTCATGTCAAGAATATTAACAAATCTGGACACTTGCAGCCTCGATTCTTTCGAGTTACTTATGGTATTCTAAAACACACCAATCGCCCGTCAATCAGGTACATATAATGAACCGGGTTCACAGAGATGCTGAGAAAGCATAACGTACAAACACCAAAGAAAGAGACGAAGTGTAAGAGTAGTTCACCATGAGAAGATAAACAATATAACGCCCAATAAGCGGGCACCTCCTGGTTTGTAGCCACTCCCACAGCAAAGACACTTTGTGACAATCATGACTAACACCTGGGCGACCAGCAGGAAAACGAAAGAGCCAGCAGCGAATCCAGTTGCGATGTCTGTGGTGTACTGGCATTTCAAGGTGCCTAGATCCTCATCAACTACCGTGAGATCCCCCTGAGAACAAATAAACCTTCCATCACATTATATCGTTACTCCTCAACACGATCTATAAGTAATTGATTTAGGTACGTCAGAGGGAAGATTACCAACGTCCTCGCAATATCTTGGCATGCAAAGACTGCAATTTCAGGAAAATTAAGACTCAGGTTGTAACAGCAGTTTGGAGACATGATGGAGGGACCAACACAGGAGAAATTCTAAAATAATTAAATAAAAATTGCAGAAAGGTCTACTAATGTAGGAAGATTTGAACTTTTATGACTAATAAGTCGATTGAGAGATAAAGGAATGGCAACCTGGCTTCGTCTCGCCATAGCTCCGAGGGCGAGACCGAAGGAAATTAGATAGAACACAGTACTGGCGCCGATGACTATGATACTGGCGGAACCCATCTTGGACAAGCTGTGGCTGCAGTGTTAATCTTGCAGGTCCGGACTCCTTCAACCACTCTGCATCCGCACACAAACACAAATTTTAGCTTCACGTAAAACACCCAACCAGCTGAAATCTTGTACCAAGGCTAAAGCAAACTCAAATAAATGGTCTTAAAAGGATCAATCCGGCAAGAAGAATAAAAATAATAATATCGGCTCGTAGAAACAAAGTGTGTTAAAGGCTGCGTGGAGCCTCTGTCCACCTCAGTTGGTAAAAGAATTATCACAAAAAATACTTAAAGACTAGAGCTTTGTTCCCTCGTTCATCAGTCTGCTACAGTCTCCAATATCAAGATCGGCAATGGAGGACATGAGTTCCTTTATGCAGCTACCACCTAACGTGGGATCCACTTAAACTTCATCTTTCCTAATTACACCACCCACAAAACCTCGAAGCAAAGAAACTATAGCACCCACATCGCACCCCCTTCAAGCATGCACGTAGTCCAACACACCCACCATCGACACAGCCGAGCTCCAAGAACGAAAACCCCGAGGAAATCTTTCGCCTTTGGACAAAATTTGTCACATAAAACATTCAAACACAACACCCTCCAAGAAACAACCAGCATCATATGCACGGTTTCAGTGAGCAGTGTCAGATTTAGACCTGTTACCCCAGTCCACTACCAGGGAAGAAAACGAAACAGCACCATAGCAAGCACGCCAAGAATATATGAGCAAACTCACTATCAACGACAAAAAAATTGCAGCAATAGGTCTGCCGAGAACGGACAATGTACACAAGTATGGCGATTGAAGCAGCGATGAGTGGAGGGAGCAGCCTTGAGTTGTGAAAAAACATGAAGCTCTCACCCACAGACTACAGTGTGTCGCGTTATGGAGAATAGCAAACCTGGGGTTCGGGTACTGCCTGACAAACACAAGCTCACCTTCAAAACACTGATGGTCACCGCCACCTCCAGTACTTGATATTACTCCATCCGTGTGAGAGAAACTCCTCGACAGTCTTCCACATGCCTTCACCATCAACCAAAGCAGCTCTTCGCCATTTTCACCACCATCCAGCATATATACAGATCTACAACATCCCTCTCAGAAACACAGAATCAACTCTAGTGGTTGATTTGAAGTTACGCTTCAGTATTATTTCTGGGCACAGAATTGAAGAGGCGGTGTCAGGAACTGTGAAGCTTGAATCTATGGCTCCCTTTTGAGGTTGTAAACATGATGTCCTGTTCAGTTCTGTTTTGAATTTTATTCTTTTACCTCAGTATAATTGTTCTGTTTATTTTGCTGCAAAGTTGCACAAGGATAAGAGAGTGTTTCCATACATGATTGCTTTAATGTGAGTGCAAGAAGCTTCGGGCCTAATAATGTATGCTGAATAGGTCCCAGTGGATCCAGGGGTTGCAACACTAATGTCTGGGCCTATCATTGTAGTGAGTTGATACAATGGTGTGTTTTTTAGGTCGATGAGTGTTCATTACATCAACCTGTGAAAAAAGTATGTTTTTTTTTAAAATACAGTGGAAATACAAGAAAAAAGTGCAATAGATTATGCATAGTAGATTAGTGTATCTTCTAATGTTATATCTCACATTCTCAACACTTTGTTCTTTAAAACATATTCAACATTTTGGATATGACTTTTTATTGAATACATTCAAAAGAGTTTGTTTAACTAATATTTTTAAGTTTTTAGTATTATTTATATATACACTAATCATCAAATATAAAAAAAAATATACTGTCTATTTTTATTTTTTGAATAATTTATTTATACAAATTGCAATAATCAACTTTTTATAAAAACTTGGATTAAAAGACTTGTGAAAAGTATTTGTAAAGTCTCAAAAAGTCTCTTAAAGTTATATGAATAAATTGAAACTTACAAGTCCAACAAATAAAAATAAAACTATAACGACTTTTCTATCATTAACTCTTGTATAAAGTAATACTTATTCAATAAATTTAAACTTTCCAATATTAGCATGACCACGAGATTATTTTGCTATGTTATGATAGAATAACTTTGGCTTTTGTTTCTTAATATTATTTATTAAATTATATTATGAATAATAAGATATAATACATAAATATTTTTAATTTTATAAAACTTAAAATTATTAAAATATATATATATATTTATTTATTTAATGATTTTAACTTTAAATTATTTTAATTACTATATTATATATATATATCTATTTATATATAGATATAAATATATGTATATATAAAATTATCATTTTATTAATAAATATCATATTTTATAAAACATAAAAGTATTAAATATTAGAAATTATTAATTATTAGAATAACAAACAACATTAGACACCTAAATTCTACCTAGAGTAAGTTTTGAAATCACAAAAATAATGTACAATATTTTTTAAAATTTGCCAATTATTACCAAATCTTCATTAAGAACTTTTTTCAAGTTGCAACCTCTCTTATACATCTAATATGTAAAAACAAACTTAAGTGGAACAAAGAAGCTAAAACATCTTTTTGAAGCTTTAAAGACTACATTTAATTTTGCATCAATCTTATATTGTATCAACTTTTTGAAGGCATTCTTTATGGAAATAGATGCATTAGACTTTGCCATGGATGTTGTTTTGTTAGAAATGGGAGCAAAAGACAAGCTCCACCTAATTTCAAGTTGTAATACAACTATATGGTAAAAATATGATCAAAAATAAATTTCTAATTGATATCTAATTATCTTGGTTCAATAACAATTCAAGATATTTAAACATGACTTTTATAAAGCCTTTTAGTTTATTTTCTTATCTTAATAGCTACTAGATTAAAGATTGGTCAGTAATTTTACCATCTAGGCTGTAGAAACTCTTTTACTACCTTTAAAAGGCCATAAATTGATAAAATCAAACTAAAATAGGTAAAAATTAGCATGGTTGATATTAGGATTAAATTGAAGGTAGGATTGGGCTAAAATCTCCTAGAATAGGTTAGATTGATACTCAAGGATCAATTGTTTATGAGACAAGGTCAATATCAGACCTCTAGCTATTAAAACAAATGCCTAAGATAAAGTAGGGAGACATTTGAAGATTGACAATTAGGATTTGAGAGCTAGCTTTAAGTTAATTCCAGAAGTATAAGGCTTGTTTTCAAAGGGTTTGATATGACTTTGCAATTGCTGTTCAAAATCAGGGTTTGTATTGGTGATTTGGGATTTATGCAATACAATTAGAGCTAGCACTCTAGGCTAGTTCATGCAATTGGTATCACATCTATAGTTCAAAATTTGATAATACTTAGATAATTAGGTGTACTAAATGTATGTAATTTTTTTTGTTAATTTAATAATGCAATTGAGAGATATCTAGGTTTTAGTACAAGAGGATATTTAAAGTTGGCAGTTTGAGATTGGATAGGGTTTCTATAATATCTAAAGTTCTACTTATCAAATCAAGGTGAAATTTTGCATCATTATAGAAAATTTCATGATTAAGCTATATACTAATTTTGAATTGAAGTTACTAGTTGAAAAAAGAGAAATTGGTATTAGAACAATAACATCAACTTTCAAGTTTGTGGCCAAGTGTCATCAATACAATTTTTGGACTTTTTCTCATTATTTGTAAGTTGGATTGGACTGAATTTTTCTAAGCATGTAGAAGACTTATAATGGCATTTGTATTCAAAATTTTGCTCCAAATAGATGATCAAATTAGGAGTTATAGCTTGCTAAATTCAGTAAATAGGATTAGAACTTACAAGAAAAAATCAACATTGCCTAATTATGAAAGTAATAAGGCAATAAGAATTTGTATATAATTGAAGTTATTAAGAAGAGTATTTTTGAGCACTTTGCATTAGTTTTATATACTTTTAAATTAAAATTCGAATTACTTTATATTTAGATGGTTTAAACCTATTAAGCTTTCTGAATATTTATCAAGTACAACTTTATCTTCCACAATGAGGTATCTCATGTATTCTCAAGCAAGAATTCACATAATATAACACTAATAGATTTTTATTCCAAATTTTTTTTGATAGCTAAGATTAACTATGAAATCTATGATAAAGAGCTTCTTATAATCATAGATTTATTTCAAGAATAGCATTTTTATTTAAAAGATATCTCTAATCCAGTCACTGTATATATGAATGGAAAGAACCTTAAGTATTTCAAGTCAGCATATGTTTTAAATCATTGCAAAGCATGTTGGAGCATGTCTTTATCAAAATTTTATTTTAAGATTATTTATTAATCCAAAAAATAATAAGGTTCTTCAAATACCTTTTTTAGATGTTCTTATCTTACACCAAAAGAAAAAAAATATAACTTTTCATAAATAAAGAATAGTTCTTTTGAAGCTAGAGTATTTTCATCTTCAAGCAATAAAATCAATATTGATTGTTGATTCAACATTTGTCAAGCAAATTCAATTAAGTATGTCTTTTGATCTTCTTGTTGAAGATATCAAAAAATAATTCTTCTAAATCTCATGATACTTCTAAGTTTAAATTCAAGAATAACGTATTTTATTTTAAAGAGCTATTATATATTCCAAAAAATAAAATATAATTACATATTCTTCAAGCTCATCATGACTTTTAAGCAGCCAAATATTTTGGATATAATAAGACTTTGGAATTAATATCAAGAAATTTTTGATGGCTTCAAATTTCAAAAGTAGTTAAAGACTTTGTATAATCTTGTGATATTTGTTTAAGATAAAAAACTCCTTATCATTGACCTTATAAAATTCTCCAGCTATTATCTATTCTATAAAATCATAATCTTTTGTTTCTTTGAATTTTATTATAGATCTTATAGTCTCAAGTTTGTATGATTCTATATTTGTGATTGTAGATCATTTTATAAAAATGGTATATTTTCTATTATATACAAAATCTATCAGAAGTAAAAAAAATAGCTAAGCTTTTTTTTAACAACATCTATCAATATCATGGATTACTCAAAAATATTATATTGGATAGGGAAGCTCAATTTATATCAAGATTTTGGAGAATCCTTTTAAAGATCTTAAAAATAGATATAAAGCTATTTTTGGCTTTTCATCTTCAAATTAATATACAAACAGAATAAGTGAATCAAGTTCTAGACCAATATTTGAGGTATACTATTAATTATCATTAAAATGATTAGAAAACTTTTTTATTATTGGCAAAATTTTAGTATATTAATTTGATACTTTATTCTATTCAATAAATATCTTTCTTTGTCAATTATGATTATTATCTATGATTTGATATTTTTGACTTTTCAAAAATTAATAATCATGTAGCAAAAGATTTGATGAGTCATTTGTTAGAGCAATATGCAACAATAAAGATGCACTTAAAAGAAGCTCAAGAACAACAAAAGATCAATGGGGATGCTTATTGCACAGAACAACCACAATTCAATGTGGGTGATAAGATATGGCTATTTCATTGTAATATCAAGACTACTTATCATTGTAATAAGTTGCACTATTGTTGGCTTGGAATTTTTTCTATTTATGAAGAAGTCAATTCTATTGCTTATTGATTATATCTACCAGAGTTTATGAAGATCCTTTATATATTCTATGTATATTTTCTTGAGCCATATAAGATAATGAATAATTTGGAAAAAAGATAAATTCCACCTTTGCCTATAGAAGTAGATAATAATCAAGAGTTGAAGGTGGAAGAAGTCTTAGATTCATAATATTTTCTAAAGAAGCTTTTTAGAAGCTTTATAAATACTGCTTTAACTTTATATGTCTTTACAGTTAATTAATAGGTTAGAAACTTAGTCAATAAATTAACCACATGTTGGTAGCTTATAGAATAAGTTAATTATATAGCTCACATATAAAAAAATTACATTATAAATTAAGATATGTATCTTACAAAGTCAACATGTTTTGGAGGTCTTATAAGGCATTGCCATGTAGTTCTTAGTTAAGAGTATATATAGTGGCAAGAGTGAAGCCTTTTTTATTCTTGTCAATGCCTTTTTAGTCGTTAGTCTTATTTCAAGACTTTTTAGTCTTCTTGTCTTTGACAATAGCCATTCTAGCTTAATATTATATTATCTTATCTTTGAGTGATTTTCCAATCTTTTGAGTAATATAAAAGTATATTAATATTTTAGTTATTTGAGGTTCATGTC